TATATATTATAGAGGATTAACTTCGTTGGAATGCACGCCCACCCATTGCAGGCAAAGCTTTGCCAAGTTCCAGTGCATGTTAGGCCTTGTGTAGTTCATCTATCTTCTCGACCTCTCAGCTTGCGTTGAATTGAGTTGCGTGTTGATGTAGAAAGCATCGCAGCTGTCAGAACGCAGGTGGGTCTCCCCATTCTTTTATCGCCCGCCTTTCACCTCTGGTCAACTTTTCCCGGCGTTCGGACTGGTATGAGACGGAATTAGGAAGTTGTGCTCATGACATAGCCCAACTCCAGCGCATGTCCAGCCTCCTATGGGCGGAGCTCCGACAGGCTCACCCTATACTTGGCTAATGCCAAAGCTGATCCGACCTCTCTAGGTGTTTCTTCAGGTGATATCGAATTTTGTGAGAGGCAAATATACAGACTCGAGGACGTTTTGCAGTAAAGGTCATTTGGCCTACATTTGAGCACTTAATGAGGAAAAGTGACGTCAATATATCAGAAAAGTAAAACTTTCCTTATTGAAACAAAAAGCGTGATAATGTTGCTGACAACCGATTGGTATGTTGCTAAGTAATGAAATCAATAAAAACTTCAAGTTAGAATTGGTCAAAATTTGCTAGGTCAGCTTCATTCAGCGTATACTTCGTTCGCTACGATCATCAACTGAAACGACAGCATTTTGTTCCATTATTCCGGGCAGCTCTTGTAAATGAATAATTCAATCTAAGAGCCCGCGAGACAAAAGATGAAAGAGAGAAGAGACAAAGTTATAAAGAACTTTATAAATAATTATGCCTAGCGTGTAGCAATAGGAAAGTTGGAGGTTGTTTTAAGCGGAACTTTGTTTGTAACACTGCAGCACCACTTAATCATGTTTCATAGTCTTCATTTCAAATGCTCTATCCGTTTTGAAGTTTGCTCATCTAACTTCTTCATGATTCTTGTAAAACTGCACAAAAATCTTGAGATCGTAAAATTGTCAACTTACCTAGTCGATTAATCACTGCTCAACTTTTTAAAGTAGGTTTGCAAAGGCGGATCGATAGGTCCAGTTGAGACCACCTCCCCCTTCTTAATGGTACAAAATGGGTGGACAAAGTTGAAAGGAGTGATGTTGATGTCTTTCCAAAATTGCCTTTCTTTTGATGAAGTGCTGAGTCGGTGATGGGGTTTTTCTTCTGTGTCGAGGAGGCACTTCATGGATGTCAACCTGAGTATCACTGAAAATACTTATCAATTCCGTGCTTTCAGATGCCCAGGCACTCACGCGCTCTATTCGGTAACCCCAAAACAAGATTTCTTCCACACTCCCTGTGATGACTACGTGGTTGGAATAATGAATCGGTCAGGCTCTGAACACCACTACCACTACGCGCAGCTGGCAGGTGGACATGGAACTACGCTCAGCACTTTCTACGGGAATTACGTATGTTTCGAGATTGCGTGACGGCTATTCATTACGCTGCTTACTTTAAAAATTATTTTTCCAACGTAAGAATGACTAGATGAAGTTAATCCTGACTGGGAACGTTTATGATAAAAAAATGAATGTCGAAGAGAGAAAACCGTTTTTTCTTCTCGAACCGTGTTCTTGAATTGATGTTTCCAGTACCGGGACGACCCTTCACCTTATGCAACAACAACATTGGTGACATTGAACCAACAACCATCATGGCTTGACGATCGAATGCTCAGAGGACCAGTTCTTCCTGCTAATCCGGTTCCGAATGAACCACCAGCGAAGTAATCAATAAACTTTCTTGTATTCACACACATTTAGTATCAGACATTGTCCACTATTTTAAGAAATCCTTTCGCAATCGAAAGAACCTGTTCCCTCGTACCTTTTTCCACTTGTCAGACAGTTCCCATGTGCTGTAATATTTATCTGCACGAATCATGTCAGGCGCAAGGGGCTTGCAATTTCGCGGAAACCGAGCCACTGGCTCGTGGCTAAACTTGGCGTATCGCCATGGTCAGAGCTCTTTGTTTTTAGAACCCTGTTTTCGAAGGATTGACTTTGTTCGAGGACTCACCGTTAGTACAACAGTTAGGTTTGCGCGAAAGACATAACAACGGCATGCAGCGTGCTAAACTAATCATATCCGTTTTTGCATGCCGTGTGATAGAATCGACAATATATACATTGTTGTATTGCGTTTGAGGAGAGACCCACACCTATACTTTCATTTTTCTGATTATCCTATAGATGAATAAAAAATAGATTGTATACTTCGACAGCGTTTTCGTTGAGGCCAGCAAGGAGGCTAGACGAAGTAAATTTTGACTGCGCATTTTATCCTATCAAGGGTGACAGAAGGGAAGGGTCATTAACAAAAGGCATCTTGAAGAAATATGCGCATTCAGAAACGCATGACGAGGAGTGGCGGCAGTTCGTATCATCATCTCCTCATATTGTATGTGAATGATTATTGTATTACGCCTGCTTTACTTCAGGTATGCCAACCAGAAGGGTCGACGTCCGCGAGGTGGTCGCGCATCCGAACATCGCCAAACAAGCCGCCAATCGGATAGTCCTCCTCACACTGACGTTAGCTATATTCAGGTTCTTAATGTTTGGCGAATCCGTCAAGTATAGGCTCATACATTTCAAATCTCGTTTGGAAAATATCTGCTGAACATTCCACATACATAGTACAAATCTTTCTGTATTGACTTGGAATTTTCCATCGAATCGCTATGGCATAGTAAGGATAGACATATAAGTTTAAAAGGACACCAACCACATGTATGAAAATTACATATCGTGCTTCATGTTCGACTCTCGATAAACCTCGACATAGTTCCAATACAAGTTAATTTTATTCGACAGTACACGAGGTTATATACAATTCCGTCGGCTAACGTGTCGACGGTTTTCGCCTTTTTCATAGCATTACACAATGAATAGTTAGATAAGAAACCATTCAATCCAGACCTGGAAGGTAGGGTTCTTTATCTAACTACCTAACTATGTCCTATCTATCTATCTATCTATCTATCTATCTATCTATCTATCTATCT